CCAGGCTGGTCTTGAACTCCTGGGCTGAAATGATCCTCCCACGTCGGCCTCCAAAAGTGCTGGGATTACAGGCATGAGCCTGGCCACCCGCCCAGCCCTGTGAATGGTGAGGATGAGGCAGCACCGCCCTTGGGCAGGGTTGGGGACTGGGGCTAAGGGTAGAACACACAACGCACACTCCACGTGGGCAGCTGGACCACCAGGTGCAGGATCTTAACACGGGGTCCAAACCAGGGTTCAGAGTGCACACTGAGGCCACTCTGGCGCAGCGGGGAGGAACTGGGCTGCAGAGACCACGTCCTCCCTGGCTTACCAGGCTCGACCAAGCAGGGAGCAGGAGCACAGCAGGCCGGGCTGGGTCATCTGTGAGGAGGATGCGCCCCCTAGCGGCCGCCTGCCCCTTCTCTCCCAGCCCTGGAGACACCTTTACCCAGTGGGAAGAACTGGGAGGGAGCAGGAGCTGCCTTCAGTGGTCCTGGGAGGCAGACCTGCTCCATCCACACAGCGGCGGGACAGGAGTGGAAACCAGAAGCAGGGAGGTTTCCCTGCCAGAAGGGAGATGGAGTTGGGATGGGGGCACATTCTGGTGGGAAGCCCCATAACCAGGCCCGCATCCCCATCACCATCAGGCAGCCCATGGCATGAGCAGCTCCAGTGCATAAACCGAGAATCATGTGCCCAGCCACTGCAAAGAGGGGGTCAGGCTCCCTCCAGCTGTGGGGTGGGCCCATCCATCACGCCAGCCACAGCTCAGAACAAGCCCTTGCCCTCTGCAGACCCACAGGCATCACCAGCTGCCCTATAGTCATAGGCTGCCCCCCACTCCCGGCTCCATACTGCCAGGGTTTCTGGTATAGAAGGCCCCCACCAGGATGTACCCCTTTTACAGCAAAAGAAGGGGGCAGCAGACCCGAGGCTGAAGCACCTATTGGCCCTAGCCCGTGCTGACAGATGCAGCTTGGAGGCGATGCTGCATCCCCACAGGTGGAATTCCTAGGTCCAGGAACCAGGGGAAGTAGAGGGAGTCGTTCTACTAAACATCACTCCCACAACCCACTTGGGAAATGTGTGCTTCTCGTCTCTGCAACTTGAAGCTCTGGGTCTAGTGGGGGGAACTTGTCTAGTGGTGAAGCAGCATGAGCTCCTCTGTGCTATGACTCCTGACTCTTCCTGGCAAGATATCAGCAAGCAAGGAGAAGAGTGGCCCAGCTGGTGACCCACAGAGCTGCTCACTGTCCTTCCCTGTACAATTGTGATGGTAAATGGGGCTTGGACTCCCAGGAGGGGGGCCTGGACCACCACACCAGTAACAGAAGGGTAGAGAGAGTTTGCCACCATCCCAAGGCAGCCATCCCTGAGTCCTGCTGAGACTGCCCAGGCCATCCCCTCTGCCTGGGACGCCTGTCCCCTCCTTCTCAGCCAGGGCTCATCCCTCAAGGACCGGCCTCAAGCTCACTCTGCCTGGGAAGCCATCCCCAGCAGGGTTAGGCTGGACCACACATAACAGATCTCCTCCAGCAGAGGCTACCCCAGAGGCCTTACTGATGCCCAAAGCTCAGGCCAGTGTCTGGGATCCTCCACTCAATGAATACCGCAAAAGAAAAATGGATCAAGACTGGGAGAGGCAGCTTCCACAAAAGGAGAGTACAGAAGAGAAAGCTGGACTAGGGTCTGTCCAAGTATGCAGAGCCCTGGGGTGGGACACTCAGGTCTGGTCCACCTCCCGCCCTGCCAGCTTCTGTCCGGCTCCATTCCCATGCCTCTCAGCCTGTCTTCACGTGTCTTCAGGCCCAGCACACCTCCAGAAGGGCCCTGATGGGTGCCCTTGTCCCCAGTGATCCCGACAAGTCTTCAGAGACCATTCATAGTGCCCAGGGCCACCTCCCTAGGGAAGTCCTCTGGCCCTGGTCTCGGGCCCCAGCCAGGTCCTGGCTTTCCTCCTCCCACCTCCCCTCAGGAGGCTCTTCTCATCCCCTCCTGGGGCAGCACTACACGGTCAGCAAATCGAACAAACTCGACCTTTTCACCTGCAGCCCTGACTCTGCTCAGAGCCACGCTGGGCCCAGACTCCACTGACACCTCTAGGTGCCACCGGCAGCTCAACAAGGCTGCAGCCAGCCCAGAGCAGCTCTGCTAAGAACATTCATACCAGGTGCCCCTCTATCTAGCACCCCCTCCCTGCCACAGTGCGTCCCAGTCCCAGTGACAGGCCTCTCCTCCTGCCTCAGGACCGCCAAGCCTCTCACTCAACCCTTCTCCAACATTTGGCTTCCTCCTCCCAAAGGTGTCTCACCACCGGCCACACGTCCCTGGCCTGTCCAACCAGCTCAAAGCACCACGTCCCTCTTGCAGGGCCCGGGTAACAGGTCCTCTTGTCTGTAACTGTCTTTGATGGAAGTTGCCTCCCTAGCAGCTGGGGCCAGGCCCAGCACCTGTGTGCAGACACCACTTAACTAGAGTCTCATGGAAAGGCTGGCGGTTCAGATAGAACAGACAGGTGGCCAGGGGAGGCTGGCTGAGAGTGGGGACGTTAAGGTGCAAACCAGGGACCAGGATGGGCTCTGACAGGGGCCCAGGTGGGGTGGGGGCTTCCAGATGCAGGTGAGTGAGGGTGTGAGGAGCAGCTGGGCAGCGGGGCACACAGATGCCCATCCTGACCTCAGTGTTCCGCTGTCCCCTCAACAGCAAGCCTGGAAGGCCCAGCCCAGGGGTCCCAGCCCAGGAGACCTGCACAGAGTCCCATAGAAGCTCCCCGCCCACCTGCTCACCTTGCAGGCCGTGCCCACGAGGGCTCCGTCCCGGCTCCAGATGGCGCTCTGCACCAGGTCCCCATGGGCTGCCAGCTCTGCAAAGAAGCAGCAAAGGTCAGGCCCTGGGCAGTGAGGGCACCAGGGAAGTGGGTGGGGCGGGCCCTGCTGGGGGCAACTCCCACAGCAAAGGCAGCAGCTACGAGGGTCCCCATCAACCAAGGGGGCAGGGGCAGCAGCTCCTCCCACACAGGCTTCCCCTGCACCACGGGCTGCTTCCTTCACCCCACCTCTGTGCAGCTATACATCACTCAACTACCTTCTGAGGCTCCCTGCTCCCCAGCTGTCTCTCTCATCCCTCCCAGGCTCACTTCCAACACAGGCCACACTCCACAGGGTCATTCTCGCCCTAAACCTCTGCTCCTGCCATCTATACTCTCCCCCACTAGTGTGAGGTCTTAAAATATGTCTCTACATCCTCTGCAACTTCTCCTGTTCCAGGTTGAATTGTACTCCTCTAAAAAGATGGTGAAATCCTAACCCCCACTACTTTTTGGAGTCTCACTCTGTTACCCAGGCTGGAGTGTACTTGTGTGATCTCAGCTCACTGCAATCTCTGCCTCCCAGGGTTTCAGCAATTCTCCTCCTCAGCCTCCCAAGTAGCTGGGATTATAGGTGCCTGCCACCATGCCTGGCTAATTTTTGTATTTTTAGTAGAGACACATTTCACCATGTTGGCCAGGCTGGTCTCAAACTCCTAACCCCAAGTGATCTGCCCACCTCAGCCTCCCAAAGTGCTGGGATTACAGGCATAAGCCACCGCTCCTGACCTAAGCCCCACTACTTAATGAAGGTGACCTTCTCTGACAATAGAATCTTTGCAGATGATCTAGTTGAGCTGAAGTCAGTAGAATGGACCTTAATTCAACATGGCTGGTGTCCTTATGAAAAGGGGAAATTTGGCCGGGCGCGGTGGCTCAAGCCTGTAATCCCAGCACTTTGGGAGGCCGAAGCAGGTGGATCATGAGGTCAAGAGATCGAGACCATGCTGGTCAACATGGTGAAACCCCATCTGTACTAAAAATACAAAAAACATTAGCTGGGCATGGTGGCACGTGCCTGTAATCCCAGCTACTCAGGAGGTTGAGGCAGGAGAATTGCCTGAACCCAGGAGGCGGAGGTTGCAGTGAGCCGAGATCGCGCCACTGCACTCCAGCCTGGGTAACAAGAGCAAAACTCCGTCTCAAAAAAAAAAAAAGGGAAATTTGAACAAAGAGACAGATGTGTACAGAGGGAAGACAACATGAAGACTCAGTGAGAAGGCGGCCGTGAACAAGCCAAGGAACGCTGAGGCTACAGAGGCTGGGACAGGCATGAATAGACACTTCCTCCCAGCCTCCAGGGGAGCCAACCCTGCCAGCACCTTGACCTCAGACTTCTGGACTCCAGGACTATGAGACAATAAATTTTTTTTTTTTGAGACACAGTCTCACTCTGTCACCCAGGCTGGAGTGCAGTGGCTCGATCTAGGCTCACTGCAAACTCCCCGTCTCGGGTTCAAGCCATTCTTCAGCCTCAGCCTCCGGAGTAGCTGCGATTAGAGGCACCTGCCACCATGCCTGACTAATTTTTGTATTTTTAGTAGAGACAGCGTTTCGCCATGTTGGCCAGGCTGGTCTCAAACTCCTGATCTCAGGTGATCCGCCCACCTCCGCCTCCCAAAGTGCTGAGATAGTAGAGACAGGGTTTCACCATGTTGGCCAGGCTGGTCTCAATCTTTTGACCTCATGATCCACCTGCCTTGGCCTCCCAAAGTGCTAGGATTATAGGCATGAGCCACTGCACCCGGCCGACGGTTTGTTTTCAAAACCAAAAACAATTTCAAGCTGGGCGCCGTGGCTCACGCCTGTAATCCCAGCACTTTGGGAGGCCGAGGCGGGTGGATCACGAGGTCAAGAGATCGAGACCATCCTGGTCAACGTGGTGAAACCCCATCTCTACTAAAAATACAAAAATTCAGCTAGGCATGGTGGCATGTGCCTGTAATCCCAGCTACTCAGGAGGCTGAGGCAGGAGAATTGCCTGAACCCAGGAGGCGGAGGTTGCGGTGAGCCAAGATGGCGCCATTGCACTCCAGCCTGGGTGACGAGAGCGAAACTCCGTCTCAAAAAAAAAAAAAAACAATTTCAAGAAATAACAGTGTGGGGGCTAGGCATGGTGGCTCATGCCTGTAATCCCAGCACTTTGGGAGGCCAAGGCAGGTGGATTGCTTGAGGCTGGGGATTTGAGATCAGCCTGGGTAACACAGTCAGATCTCATTTCTGGGGGGAAAAAACAAGAAGGCCGGGTGCAGTGGCTCACGCCTATAATCCCAGCACTTTGAGAGGCCAAGGTAGGTGGATTGCCTGAGCTCAGGAATTTGAGATCCGCCTAGCCAACATGGTGAAACCACGTTTCGACTAAAATACGCCCCCCCAAAAAAAATTAGCTTGGCATGGCAGCATGCGCCTATAGTCCCAGTTACTCTGGAGGCTGAGGCATGAGAATCATTTGAATCTAGGAGGCAGAGGTTGCAGGGAGCTGAGATCATGCCACTGCACTCCAGCCTGGATGACAGAATGAGATGCTGTGTAATAATAATAATAATCATTAAAAAAATAATAGTCCAGGCACAGTGGCTGGGATTATAAAAGTGCGCCTGTAATCCCAGCACTTTGGGAAGCTGAGGTGGCTGGATCATGAGGTCAGGAGTTCGAGACTAGCCTGGCCAACATAGTGAAATCCCATCACTACTAAAAACACAAAAAATTAGCCCTGCGTGGTGGTGGGCGCCTGTAATCCCAGCTATTCGGGAGGCTGAGGAAGGAGAATTGCCTGAACCCAGGAGGCAGAGGCTGCAGTGAGCCAAGGTTGTGCCGTTGCACTCCAGACTGGGCAAGAGTGCAAGACTCCACCCAAAAAAATAATAATAATAAAGGCTGGGTACAGTGGCTCACACTTGTTATCCCAACACTTTGGGAGGCCAAGGCAGGTGGATCACAAGGTCAGGAGATCAAGACCATCCTGGCTAACACAGTGGAACCCGTCTCAAAAATAAATAATAGTAATAATAATAGCAGTGTGGGTCACGTCTGTAGTATCAGCACTTTGAGAGGCTGAGGCAGGAGTATTGTTTGAGCTCAGGAGTTCAAGGCCAGCTAGTGTAGGCAACATAGCAAGACTCCATGTCAAAAAAATCAAAATAAAAGTGTAAGAAAGTTGTTATTCATCTGTTCTCCTGTTCCCACTGGACAGAGTACCCTCTATTGCAGTCAGCTATTATTCTTTACTTCGCTCAGAATCCATATTAACTTAGTTCCATATTATCCTCCTTAGGTTTATTCTGTTAATTCAGGGATTAATATATTTCAATACATCATAAATATGTAACATTTGGAAAAACCTGTGTTAACAAAAAAGACTGGTGAGCTTTTGATGGGGTTATATGTTGTATCTTTTTACGTTATTATGTAGAAATTTGTCATCTTAACGTGTCAGCTAGTAGACATAACTGAGACAGTGAATGTAGTCTATTCCATGAATTTTTATGTAATTAATTTGTCAAAAATCTGTAGTTTTTAGTGTACATGTGTTTAACATCTTTTGTCAAGTTTTTCCTTAAGTATTTAATATTTTTTGTTATTTCAATTCTAATGGTTCATAACTAGAATATAGAAAATTGATTTTTGTGTTAAAAAACATTATTATTATTATATTATTATTATTTTGAGATGGAATTTTGCTGTTGTTGCCCAGGCTGGAGTGCAATGGCGCGATCTGGGCTCATTGCAACCCCCGCTTACCAGGTTCAAGTGATTCTCCTGCTTCAGTCTTCCAAGTAGTTGGGATTACAGGAACCTGCCACCACATCCGGCTAAATTTTTGCATATTTAGTAGAGATGGGGTTTCACCATGTGGGCCAGGCTGGTCTCGAACTCCTGATCTCAGGTGATCCACCCACCCTGGTCTTTCAAAGTGCTAGGATTACAGGTGTGAGTCACTGCACCCAGCCGAAAGTTATTTTTTGTTTGTTTGTTTTTGAGACACAGTCTCACTCTGTCACCCAGGCTGGAGTGCAGTGGAGCACTCTGAACTCAGTGCAACCTCCACATCCCAGGTTTAAGTGATTCTCCTATCTCAGCCTCCCAAGTAGCTGGGACTATAGGCGCACACCACCATGCCTGGCTAATTTTGTATTTTTAGCAGAGATGGGGTTTCATCATTGTTGGCCAGGCTGGTCTTGAACTCCTGACCTCAAAGTGATCTGCCCACTTTGGCCTCCCAAAGTGCTGAGATCACAGGTGTGAGCCATTGCACCTGGCTATTATTATTTTTTGAGAGAGCATCTTGCTGTGTCACCCAGGCTAGAGGGCAGTGGTGTGATCATAGCTCACTGCAGCTTTCACCTCCTGGATTCAAGTAATCCTCCCACCTCAGCCTCCCGAGTAGCTGAGACTATAGGCACATGCCATCACGCCTGGCTAATTTTTTAATTTTTTATAGAGATTGGGTCTCACTACTTGCCCAGTCTGTCTCAAAATCTTGAGCTCATGATATCCTCCCATCCGGGCCTCCCAAAGTGCTAGCATTACAGGTGTGAACCACAGTGCCTGTTGAATTATTTATTTATTTATTTATTTATTATTATTATTATTTTTTTTTTTGAGACGGAGTTTCACTCATGTTACCCAGGCTGGAGTGCAATGGCGCGATCTCGGCTCACCGCAACCTCCGCC